GCGGCGAGGCGGAACAACTTCGAGCAAGCAGGAACAGACACCCCACCACTCTGATGATGGAAACGAGGAAGTTTCCGAAACGTCAGCACCAATACACTGTGGTCCATGCAATCGCCCCTTTTTCTTCTTCGTCTTCTTTTGGAGATGATGAACGGGATAATTTATCAGGACCTCGAATCTTTACTCATGTTGATATATATATATATATATGGAAGAGGAGGATGAGGCGATCTCTGGGGAAGAAGGTTTATTCATCTGACGTTTCGTGTTCATACTCGAGCACATCTTCGGAGATAGGCTGAGCGAGAAATACAGGGTTTAAATAGGCCATCTGCACTCTCACCCGATAGGTTCGTCCCGTTCGCTTCTCGTTGCCCCCCCTCTCGCGCGTAGATGGTGCCTGACGGCCTCGTATGGCGCTGGCAAATCGATACTTCGGTTGATAGAGTTCGTGTCTGATTTCCAGGCCTCGATTACTTCCCTCGCCAGTTTGCTTTCGGCTCGGCCGAGCACCTGGGCGCCGTCCAAGTCGAACTTGTGATTGTTTTCCAGGCAGCGCATGGCGACATGCGATAGTACGTCTTTTCGCCTTACGGCCAAAGTGTGCTCATGCATGCGCGTTCTTAGGCGTTTGTCGGTCATGCCACAGTAGTTGGCTGAACAGTCCAGACATTTGACGCGGTAAATAACGCCTGACGTGTCTGCAGGTGGTAGCCGGTCCTTGGGCTGCATGATTAAGCGGCGGATGGTGGCCTCCGGTCGGTGACCAACGCCCACGCCTAGCGGCCTTAGTATGCGCTCAGTGGCTTCGGAGACGTTACTCACGTAGGGCAAGACACGGAAGATTTCTGGTCTTTGTTTCTTCTCACCGTCCGTCTTCGTGTGCCTTCGGTACAAGCATTTGTTCACAAAACTGCGTGGATATCCATTGGCAAGAAAGAGGCGCCATAGGGTTTTACGCTCCCGCAGCTTCTCGGCTTCTGTGCTGCAGTGTGTGTGGATGCGGCGAAAAGGGTCCGGACACAACTGCGCTTATGCGACAGGGGGTGATTGCTGTTGTAATGAAGAATTTTCTCCGTGTCTGTCGCCTTTCGAAAGACACCAGTCTGGAGGGTTCCGTCTTCCTGCCTCGATACCTGGACGTCGAGGAAAGGGAGCACTCCGTTATTTTCTTCCTCCATGGTAAATTGGATTTGTGGAAAAACTGAGTCCAATTCTCTTTTAAAGTTGTCTTTCGCGTCTCGGTGTAAGATGACAAAGGTGTCGTCTACGTAGCGCATCCAGAATTTCGGCTTGTATGTCTGGAAGACCCGCGTTTCCAGTTCCTGCAAGACCGCCTCAGCCAGGTAGCCGGAGATTGGGGACCCCATTGGGGCTCCTTGGATTTGCTCGTAAATTTGGCCGTTAAACGTGAAGTACGTGTGCAAACAGTAGTCCAGTAGTTCCATCGCGTGCCTCCTCTTAAAAGGTTTTCCTTCTTCGTCGTACCTTTTCTTCAGTAGGTCATCGACAGCTCTCATGGCCAATTCTTTAGGGATGGAGGTGAATAGAGAGACGACGTCAAAAGATACCATTATTTCGTCGGGGGCTATTGTGACGTCTTTTAGTCTTTCCAGGAAGTGTGTTGACGATACAGCTGTGTGTTCTGAGCCGTCCGTCAGCTTCTTCAAATGCTTGGCAAGCCATTTAGCCAGTCCGTATGTAGGCGTGCCTTTCAGCGCCACAATGGGCCGTAGGGGGACATTTGGCTTGTGGATTTTCGGCAAACCATAAAAGTGCGCTAGGGCAGCATCTTGGGGTTTCATTTGTCTCCAATCCTTTTCTGATATTGCCTTTTCTTTCCTCATCTGGTTCAGGCTCTTGTTGATTTGGCCTACCAGTGCTTTCATGGGGTCGGAGTCGATGACTTTATACGATTGTTCGTCATTTAGTAGCTGCTGCGCTTTGGTAACGTACTCCGACTTGTCTAGCACTACGATTGCCCGCCCTTTGTCTGATGGAACAATGACAATTTCTTCGTCCCTCTTTAGTTCCTTGATGGCCTTTACCTCTGCCGGCGGGATGGTTCGGCGAGGTCTGTGGGACATGATGAGGGACGCGACTCGTTGGCGAATCGCGTTCTTTGAGTCCTCCGTGGTATCAGTTTTTGAGAGTGTCGCTTCTATTGCAGCGATGAAGTCCACTGGCTGTGCGTCTCCTGTGTTGTAACTGGATTCACGTTGAAGAACTTTAACTTGGTCCTCTGTCAGCTGTTTGGATGACAGGTTGTGGACGGATGACGGTCCGGGTGTCGTTGATTGTGCTTGTCTTAGAGTACACATTTTGTTTAGGAGTTGGGTCTTTTTCTTATTTCGCTCCTCGTTCACTTTAATCAAGATCCAGCTCTCCAGGTTTCGCAGTGTTTCCATCCCCAGATATGATGCACATGCTGTTTTCGCCCTTTCGATTTCCTTGCCGTATTTCCGCAGACGAATGTGGCATTCGTTGATGAGGGTTCTTAGTAGGCGTCGGCTGCAGCTTCTGGCGACCTCACGACCGAAATCGGTTCTAGCTGGTGGCCTTACAGAGACGCTCCTCGGCATAATGTCTGATCTCAGGCAGTTGTGCAGAAAGGCCAATTGCTCCCGTGTAGATCCCTGTCTACAGGAAAATAACTCCCAATGCCGTGCTTGGCGAAGCGCTTCGCGCCCGGAAGTCTCATGGATATAGGCAAAAATGCTGACCCCAGGTGTTAATATGGAAGAGGAGGATGAGGCGATCTCTGGGGAAGAAGGTTTATTCATCTGACGTTTCGTGTTCATACTCGAGCACATCTTCGGAGATAGGCTGAGCGAGAAATACAGGGTTTAAATAGGCCATCAGATGAATAAACCTTCTTCCCCAGAGATCGCCTCATCCTCCTCTTCCATATTAATACCTGGGGTCATCATTTTTGCCTATATCCATATATATATATATATATATATATATATATATATATATGAGAAGATAAGGCGATCGCAGGAACCATAGGTATATTTGCCTGACGTTTCGAAAGCAAACAAGCTTCCATCATCGGAGGTGGTTTGCGTACTGCACGTCACAATATTTATGGGTTTTTGTTCTTCGTGCTGGCGTGTCACTGACTGCCAGCGCGCTGCATCTCAAGCCTTGGCGATTTGTTGTCATGGCGGCAACGGTTCCTCCTCATTCTTTGTCGGGTGTGAGAAGGGGAGCGGCATCAGGGCGACCGCGGCCATTGCTCTTGTTTGCATTGTCCGTTGTCTGCCCTCCGCGCATCTCGCCTTCCTGCCCTGTTCGCACACGCCCGTACCCGTGTGGACGGTGGTTACCATGCTAGTGTTGACGTCGGGCTGGGGGTTCCTGTCACTGCCGTGGGTTCCCGCCTCGCTGCCCCGTTCACACCTGTCCGTAACTGTGTTGATGGTGGTTGTCATGCCGGTGTTGACGTCGGGCTGGGGGGTCCTGTCACTGTCTGGCGCTCTCCCCTGGGGCTGGCGTCTGTCTGTGTTCGGACCCAGAAGGCGGTCTCCTAGGTTTGTGTTCGTCGCCGGTTGTCCCCTGGTTTCGACGGTTCCCGATTCCTGTCTATGCCCGTCTGTGTTCCCGCTGGGTTTGGGTTCGACTGCTGCCGTCTCTGGCCTGACGCCTCGTCGGTAGCCCTGCTTATTTAATTTCGCCCGTAGGGCTTGGTAGGCGGCCGGCAAAGTTACGCAGCGGTTGATCGAGGTAGTTGTGGTGTGCCAGGCTTCGAGCGTCTCCCTAACCGTTTGATCGCTCCCTTGGCCCAAGACTTCGGCGTATTGGAAGGCGAAGGCATGGTCAAAAGCTGCGCAATGTTCCGTCACTTGAGCCCAACGGATGACCTTGCCTGGGGGGAATGTGCTCATAAACCAACATCAGTTATATCAGGCATCAGTTCGCACGCTCATTCCTGCGCGTGCTTCTAGCCCTCATTGCGCCCTCCTTATTATCTTAATCCAGCAATTGGTTAAGTATGCTTGCTAATGTCATTGTTCGGACAGTGTGGAACTCCGCCAGCCCCACCATAATGGCCGTGTACTGCGAATTAACACGCGGTTCACTCTGTGGCCTTCCACTTATGATTGCGTTCTCCAGATCCTCTTAATCCGGCGAGTGGCTGTGTTGAGGGGAGTGTACACACGTCACTTTCGTTTACACCAAGCGTCGAGTCACACGCGCTTCCCTGCGCATGTTTCGACGTCTGCTTGCGCTCTTATCCCCCTTATAAACCAGCTAGTGGCTAAGTTGGGCATGCTACCTAAGATTGTTTTGGATGGCCAACCATATGGTAGCAATCAAGTGAGTCTGCAGGACGAAACCTCACCGGGTTGTTTGCCATTAACCGTCAGTATTTATAACACAGTAGATTTTATCATTTAAACGGCTTCTTCGATCTTAAAAAATTGTGATCTCTCCTGCAATGGACACAGTAACCCCAAGGGATTCTGCTCGTCCAGCAGAAACTGGACCGGCATTTAACGAAATGTGAATCGCTCTTTTCACGCGTTAAAAATTAACAAGAAAAATTTGGGAAAATGAATGCTGCTTAGCTAGGCTTTTAGATTTCCGAGCCACTTATTCAACCGCAAGCAGTATGTGCGCATTCGTGCATCAGGTGGTGCTGTCATATAAGTAGGCTAAAAGAGATGTAGTATGATAAGCACCAAGCCACAGCTGTGTTGACAAATGATAAAGAACGCAAGGGTCGCATTCAGAACTGAAAGTAGACGGGACAATTTGGAAGGTAGGAGACTAGCTAGATAGTTCAACAGTCATGAACAATAATGTATGCCATTTGCCCAACAGCATGACGGGCACAGGGACGGTGAACTGCACGTGAATTAGATTATGCTGATAGTAGACTTCTGCAGCATCTTCCCCATCGACACGGGCCCGAGGTCAAGGCAGAGTCAAGAAGACAGGGGACAGATCGGGCGTCGTGACTGACATCACTAAACAGTCACTCCACGCGCGCCACATCTGTCTCGTCCGTGCACGATGGATCGGGTTTTCACTTAATAAGAAGGACGTATAGCCCGGATCCCAACTGTATGGAAGGGTCGTAGAGTCTAAAGGAAGTGGAAGCCATTGCAGGCTGCCTCTCCATCCTGAGAGGAGGACCGAGCTATCATTTCAGGCAGCAGCCTTCGAGGCCACGCTGGTAACAAACTGTGACATATTCATGCGCGCCAGACTGTTTATGGTGAGTGGTATGCGCTGATTCGGCCTCATTCGCTCTCTCTTCTCTTTCATGCACCAGTCCTCAGTCTGTGCCGGTCAGCCGCCTGCTGTTGGAATTGGGCACAAGGGGGTGCTGAGCCGGAGCATGTCAAACAAGGGGAGAGATAAACATCAACGATTGTTAGGCGGCCAAATGAGTGGGAGTAGCCAGGTTGAGAGGCAAAAAGGGAG